TTAGATAAGGTAGAGCATTTCCTGAAAGAACAGGCATGTAGCTTTGAAGAGCATGAATCCAACTTGTCACTAAAGACACATATGATTTCATTGGCCTTGTCAACTTCCAAAATTGGACTGGGATAAAATATTGTCATTAATCCATGCCATCATGGGTAAACAGTGGGATTACTGCTGATTGTTACGCTTCTCTTGAAGACAATCCATAGCTGCAACTGGTGTTCAGTTACTAAGCAAGACACCTAAATAGAATCAAGATAGTGATTGCTTGTGCACTACTGAGTCTATGTTAAGAGATTGGCATCAAGCCAAATATATTTTAGAAAATCTACTTTTTCAGTGCATCTTGACCCATGAGATCAGCTGGGAGAAGCCTGTTGTAGGATTGCTCATAATAGGATGGCCCAGAACGGAGCTTGTATAGCATGTTGCAATTGTCAACATCTTTCCCAAGGAAAGTATGGTAGATATCATGCTTTCTACAGATAACAACTGAATACTTGCCTGTTGATCAGGGCATTTGTAGATGCAAACTGCTTTTAAGTTAATAATTGAATTGTATTTTATAGTCTTATTTTGAAATACTTTAATTTTTTTACCTCATCTTTGAAATTCTTATTATATAACACTCTGGCTTTCTTTGAACGGAATAACAACAGTAATCACATGAGTGATTGTGTAGGTACCATAATTTCATCTTATAAGCACACCCATAATAATGTACTTAGAAAGTGGTGGTTTTTTTTTTAAAGTTGTGATAGATAAGTAGGTCGTATTTTAGACTGAATATCTATTGATTTTTGACTTGAGCTATTACTGCCACTTTACACAATTACCAATGATAGTGGAAAAGCCAAAATGCTCATATGGTTGGGTATAGTACAAGAAGTAGTGTTTTAGCCACATCAAATCTGTAAGCATAGGTAATATATAAATCCATATTCAGGCATTTTTCAGTAATGTTTTAAACCTCAGTACCATAGGCAATTGATTATCAAATCATCTGTTGATACCTGTTAAGTGGCAAAAGATATGAGAAAAAAATTAACACGTGGTAGACAAGTTTACTAGAATTATTCTTGAAAATAATTGAAAAAGTTGGCATCCATTTTGATTTCCTAACTTAAACAGGATGAAAGAAGTCGCTCAGCTTTAAATAAGACTATTAGTCTAATTGAGACAGTTTAGATACAATATACCAAAATGGTATATTGTGTCAAGTTACAGACATAATATTAAAATTTACAGACATATTTCCTATATGCTTTATTTTTATTTTTTGCTATCACTTTATTTTTTTTAATTCCTAGAAAGCAACTAGACCACTGAGAATTAAGTATTAGCGCATGTGTATTTTACTAACTTAAAATCCTCAAGGGAGAGTTAATTACAGGAAAACCTTTCTAAACATCAGTTGCATATTTTCCATGACAAGGGGTTTTCAACTCTCACTGAATAAGTCCAGAAGTAAGAGTGTTGTTTAGTTATATCCACAAATATATTTAAAAGAAAAAGGAAAAACAAATTATTTTCCTGCTTTCGTGGTTGCTACTGGTAAATAGATTTGCAAATATATTTTAAAGCATCTGGATTTAGAAAAAATATGAAATATATTAAAAAGAGGCTACATTTTAAATTGAACTTAGAATTTGAAAAGCTAAGGACAGAGATTCTAAATTGATTTGCTTTTATGTATTGTGTTAATAGTTTCATTTGAAATTTTTGTTCACATACTTAGACACAATTAAGCTTATATATGGTCACAAGGGATTGCCTTCCTCTGTAAATGTTTGCAGATTAAAGTTTTTAAAAAATAATTCCTTGGAACCTTAAACTGTGTATGGCTGGGATCAAAACGTAATCAGCTTTGGATAGGAAGCTGGCTGACCAGGATATGTTTGACATATGTTTCCAAAGAAGATGGAGGAAAGTATGTCGCTTCTTCTACAACACAAACTAAAATGGTCTATACTTTTTCAACTCTCTTCTATATTAGAAATCCAGATAAGTTTCATGTGTTCTGCAACTATATCACAGCAGGTAATAGATAAGTAGTGGATTGCTGCCTCCTATCTGTTTCCTGTTGTCAGCTCTAAATACAAAGAAATAAATTTAGAGATGGAACAATAGCAATGCTGAGAACAAAATCAGACTAAAAGGTCATTCATTTATTACAATTACAGAAGTTAACTCATTTTATGCATTTTGAAGTAGAATTATTTGAACAAACAGCTTTGTCTTACTATTAGCCTTTACTTTAGTTTGGAAAAACTGGTAATTTTTAAATTTTGTGATAGTGGCGTAAGAAAGTTAGTCTTCCTAAAGCTGCTTTTTTCCAGATGTATTAGATCCCCATCCTCATCATTCCCAGGCAGCATGGCTTTTATGAGAGTTATGAGGGCTGACATCCAACCTATTTGAAGGTCAACAGGTCAGAGAAAGATGGTATAAAGGCACTTCAGCGCTGGCCATATTTGGACTAAAGTTCCATTCATTTCAGTAGCCTCGTTCTTTAAGTAACTTGCGTTTTACTGCAATTTTAAGAACGAATTGGGTTGCAACCTAACCTTAGCACATCTTTGAGTCCGTGCAGCATTAAAATCATGCAGATTTCTCCCCGTGCTCATCACTTGCATCCTGCACCCTTTAAAAATGCGCGTGTCTGTATTCTTTTGTGCAAACCCGCCGGGTTCTCAGCGATTTCTTGGAGTTGAGAACTGTTAATACTACCTCTGCAAAGGAATCCCATCGCTGTGTCCCGTCCTCCGCCCCCCGCCTCTTTTCCGTCGAGGCCCTGTGGCCGTCCATCTCCTCCGGCGCAAGGGACAGTCCCGCTGAGCGCCGTTTTGATAAGAGCCGCGCTCGTACCTCGCAGCCTCCGGTTGAACGCCGAAAGGCCGTTGTGGGCACATTGCCGCTGACTTGCCCTTGAATTCATAGTGCAGAATTCCGAGGAAGCCGATACGGCCGACTGGTCTCCGCTGGCCACCCGTGCCGGAGCGATCTGAACGCTTTGTGTCCTCCCTCGGAGAGCTGCTTGGCCGGGCGATACCGCCGCTGTCCTAACTCGGTTCTGCCGCTAAAGCCAGGCGGAGCCTCTTCACAATCTGCGCCTTCCCCCGGAGCCCCCAGATCCTAAGCGCCTTTTTAAAAAGAGAAATCTGCCACGTGCTGGGTAGGTACGTTGTATTTTTTTTTTTTTAAAAAAAAAGCATACCCTTAAAAAAAAAAAAAAAAAACCAAACGTTGCCTTGGGTGCCTCGGCTGGCACGATATTCTCAGAAACGGGAGCGCGTCTTAAAATACCTTTTGGCATTGAGCGCGCCGCCGCTCCCGAAGAAGAAGAAGAAGAAGAAGAGAAAGAGGAAGAAGAAGACGACCTGCCATTCTTTCTTGCGCTTGGCGACAGGCAGCCTCTGCTGCCGCCTGTAACGCGGACAAATGTCGCCAACGCGACGCCAGGGTCAGCCTGCTATTTCCCCAATAAAGGTGCGTTTCACACAGGCTTCGTGGCTTGGAAAGCACTGAGGGACTTGGATCCCGAGCCGCTTGTAAGTTCTGCGCCTAGTTTAAATGTCTATCCTCCCGTAGCAGCCCTGGAAGGAGAAACGCCGGCGTCTTTAGGAGGGACGGGAGGAAAATCAGGCCCCAAAACTTGGAAATAGAGCCGCCTTCTCCCTGGCCCAGGAACTTCTCAAAAGAACCGCTTCCACTTAACAGCTGACCGCGTCTCCCCCCGCGAGGGCGCGCGCAGACGGCCCATTCCAACTTCGGACTTTCCGCTTTCCACGCGCGTGCTTTCCCTTACGCTCCTTTGGCTGATTGTTAGGCACGCCTGTATAGGATTGCAGCCTCTCGGCGCGCTCTAAAGCCACGTCCCTTGGAGCCCAATAAGCACTGAGCTCCCCACTCGTAATCATGGGCTTTCGAGACCTCATCCTTTTATCTCTTGGTTGCGCGGAGGGAGGATCAGGCCCATGTGGAGTGGAGTGTGCCTGTTGGCTAAGATCTGAGAGGAGAAGGATCTGGACTGGGGTGAATTGGACAGAAGCCACTAAAGCCATTTCTGGCTAGCTGTTGACCCCATAAAAGGGAGGGGGCGCAGCTGTGAAGCCAGCCACCCCACCCCACCCATATACACCCAGCCCTAAAGCAATATCTATGGGGACTGTGAGCAAGAATGTCCCTTCAACCAGCATATTCACCTACCATAGTCCTCACAAGGAGAATATTCCAGAAAAGTTGTGCAGTTTCTGTATTATGAAAGGAAGTGCGATGATTGTGAAGAACAGGGAGGTTCAAAGCCCGTTTTGTTAACAATAACCATGTTCAGTTTAAACCACAGCCTATTGCCCTGCCTGACTCCCCAAAACCAGAATTTCTTAATGTTTATACAGGCATTTTGTTGTCGCATTGGTTTAAATTCATTGAAATTCATGAAGCTGAAGTTTTGCTGATGTCTGGCTCAATATGAATCTCCTCTGCTAACTGCCCTTAGGCATGTTTGGCTGGTTTGTCTATCTGCCTATGACTTCCCTCTTGAGAATGGCAGTAGTGTGTAAAATCTCCTTCCTCTGCGTGGTGCTTGGTGAGATTCTCTACGAAGCTTGATGGGACCTATTGCCAGGTATATGTTACAGTTATCTTGTATCTCCAAATACAAACCAGCTACTTTCCTGCAACTTTTTTTTTTAAAAATCTGCTTGCAGGTGTTTCAGTGAGTGAGTGGGAGCCAGGGCTGGAAATGAAATAGGTTGTTTGCTATGAATATCATGTAACTTGGTTTAGAGCTAGTTCTGTGTTTCACTGAATTACAGCCATCACTCTCTAACGGTTCCTTCCCCAATATTAAAGCAGTCCGCCAGGCTATTTGACCCTTTCCCAGGTAACTTCCTTTCTCCATCCTAAAGCTTCAGGGTGTATATAACAGGGCTATTTCTCCTCCCACCTCCTCATTGTAATTGTTGATAGTTGACAGCTATGTTTCTCTTTCATTTTAGCTCCTGATGAAGATGTACTTGTTAAAGGAAAGCAATCTATCAAGAATCAGGCTTTAGGAAATCAGAATTCAGAAAGCGAGATTCTCCTGGAAGTTGATGATGATAATTTGTCATCCATGGAAGAGAAAGAACTTGAGAATTTAACTGGTAATTTTTGCTATTTATATTCTAGAATTTCTGTAGTGGTTTAATTGCTCCTTAGTAACACCATTTCTGCAATGGCTGACATATAGTACACACACACACACACACACACACACACACACACTGCATACACAGGGACTAGAGGCTTCTTTCTTCCTGACAAAGAAATAATTTTCAAATTACTGCTTTAGATTCTATTTATTGATGACTTTTGATACTATATTTCAGATATGCCCACTTGCTTTTGTGTACCTAATATATTTTTTTGAATGGGGTAGCTATTTTTAGTAATTTTTCTAGACCATAAGTCCCAGTGTTCCAATATATTATACCAGGCTTGACAATTAATCTGAAATATTTAATACTCATTTGGTAACTTGACTCCCTTTCTTCAGTATTCATGCCAGTCATGCTGTATTTTCCTTTTTATTCCTTAAAGAAATGGAAAAAGGATGTATGTTATTGTAGCAGATTTGTGCAGTTTATAAGAAAAAAAGAAGAAGCAAAAGCTATTTTTTCTGCTTTGAGGTTTTGAGTATGTACCCAATTTTCTTTTACTTCTATAAAATACACCCAGTCATAGATAGTGATTATTCCCCAAAGAAGAATGTTACTTGTTGGATTAAATTCTGTTTCACTGAAAGTAGTGGATATGAGCTTATTGTTCATTAGGCAACCTCCCTCCATAGCATTATCATTTTACTCTATTGATTGAATCAGCTTAGCCTTACAGTAAAGTAAAACATGAAAATATATCTCACGCCAAAATAATATTCTAGTGATTAAAGACAAATACAATTTATGTGGCTCTTATAGAAGTGACTATTCAACAGATTTTGCCGGAGCCCCCAATCTGATCCATGTCTGTCTATCCTTTCCCATCCCCTTCTACATTCATTACTTCTGCTAATACATTCATACTGTAATAGAGGTGAAAGGGAAGTTTAATTATATAATCTTGACAATGGCAATAGGATTAAGAAGTAATCCTTGCTAATAAAGTACTGCAGGTTGGAAATGAAGTTGAAATTGTCAGGGGTTTTCAACAGGACCTGAGGTGCCCCTGGCTCTTGCAGCTGTCTCCTTGGCCTGTAATTGAATGTCTGAAAGTGATTGAAAAAATGTTATTTCTTCCCAGGATTACATGCTAATGTACAGAGGGCAAAGGGAGACAGCAAAAGGACACGTAGCTGCTTATTTCATCCATTTGTGGGGATGAGCTTTGGGAAATCACGGCAGTTGTGCAGCTCTCGGATGCCCATCTGCAAACACAATGTATTTGTACACTGGGAATAGAGGGCAAAGCTGCTCTGATTGGACCAGAGCATCTCTTCCATTGTCCTACTGGCACACATTGAGATTGATGCAAGATTAAAGACTATCACAACCTCTAACAATTGACAGAAATGACAATTCATCTGGAATTTTTTTGGGGGGGCATTATTCACCCATTGATTACCTACATGTGCACACCTCATTTATACCCACTTTATTAATGCAAAAGGTTATGTGTCACACAAGCATTTTACAATTTTTTAAAACAAAGGCCCAGGATGATAAATGTTCTCTTTGTTGCTCTCAGAATTCCCTGTTTATAAACCCCTAAGATGACAAATATAATCCACTTTCCTTCTCGAGATCCTGCTTTATTATAACACCCTGCATATTGTTAGAACTGCGTCCAGCCTATTGTTTTGAGTAGTACACTGATCTGCTTCTGTGATAAGCCCTGTGGAGATGTGATTATTCCAATAAAAATGCATTCAAATGGAAACCAGTGCTCCAGCTGTTTACTCCCACAGTCCCAGAGCTGCACTAGCCATGTATGCATAGCTTGAAACATATTTAACTGACAATTGAAGCACGGCAACCTTTTCAGTTTCTAGCACTGTATATTTAACTTTTGAATGTATGTCTTGGCAGTGCATATAAATCAAACCTAGCAGGCAATCGTAGATTTTTAAAATAGGACCTTCCTTCCTTCCCTTCCCTTCCCTACCTACCTACCTACCTACTTGAGGCATTTTGTTCTGAAGCATTTCAAAGTTTTTAGGAGTAGAAAATGAGATGATCTAACAGCCACCTAGATGGGCATACATAATCACTTCCATTGCTTGCAGCTGAACTTGTTCAAATCTTTGGCAACCCAGCAGTACAACAAATGCATTGCATGTGTTCTTGGAGTGCATATAAAAATGTTCTTTGTTAGAGGCAGTTTGTTTTGTAAAGGGTGGGCTGGATTGATAGAATAAAAGAAGTAACAAGCATATGTATATTTAGACAAATGTTGTGCTTGTTGTTCAGATTATGGAAAACGAAGTCTTGGACTGTGTGTGCTTTTCTTTTCTTTTGTAGGTCCTGTTAGTCTGTGTACACCAGCTCAGCTCGTGGCCCCTTGTGTAGTAGTGAAAGGCACTCTGTCCATCACCTCCTCTGAAGTGTATTTTGAGGTAGATGAAGAAGAGCCCATTTTTAAGAAAATGGATTCCAAGGTAAGAGATCACCGACTTTCCCTCTCCATCTCTTTAAAAGGCAATAAGTAATTCCAGGCTTTTCTGTTCATTGATTATATTTTTCAGTTCTTGATTTAGCCAAAGTTGAGCTCTCGCATATGTGAGTCTATTTAAGTATGAAATATGTTACTTTTAAGAACCTCTCTTAATTACCTCAAGGCAGAACCCTCCAGGGAGATGCCTGAAATACAGTTGCTTGAAAACAAGAGAATGGATAAAATATCTTAAATTAGCAGTACCGCCCCTTGATATCTGTGTTTTGGCTTTGAATTTCTTTGTACCATGTTAAATAACACTCTGTTTGTTCTGAAAGCATGATTTCTTGTACATTTGTGCTGCATGGTCCTGTTTAAGATTTTCTTAAATACTGTAGTCTCCAAATGCAAAAGTAAATTCAATTTAATTATTTCACCTCAATTTAATTATTTCTTTAAAATATTCACTATGTTGTTCATAATATTAGAAAGTATTACTGAACATGCAGTCTTTTAAAATCTGTGCTTTATTATAGAAATGTTTGTTTTTTTATGAGAGATTTGCAGTACTCTCTTGAAGAAAATGGAACACAAAACTGTATGATCTAATGTATGCAGATTATGTCCATGTAGGCAACCGTTACAATTACACTAATCTCTGCAATTTTATTCTCTTTGAATATTTTTACAATATGAGCAGTATCATTTATAAAAACTTTCATAACTAGTAGAAAGTAATTCTGAAACTTTTTTTTAAAAAAATACACTTTTATATAACATTACACTAGCTAATTTAAGATGAGAAAGTTATTAGAAACATGTAAACTTTTAAAGCTAAGAGTAATGTGCATATAAAATCTTCAGTTTAGCTGCAGTTTATTTGGGTGCTGATTTATTCTAAAAGTAAATATGCAGCCATCAAATAAAGAGGCAAAATACTTAATTTACATTTACTCATTATAGTATTAGAAGCTTCAGTATACATTATTTTAGAGTAAACTATATGTATTTCCCTGCTGCTTTGAAATAAATTCTTTCCTAGTAAGAGAGAAGTAAACTGGTATTAGATTTACAATATTATTTTAAAAACAATGTGAGCCAGACATCTTAAACTGATGGTAGTCATAGAACATAAAAAAGCAGTGAACTGTATTAATTTATATGAAAATTGGGAATTATTTGTGCTAGTAGTAGTAGGATAAGCTTCAAGCTGTTGAGTACTCCTTGTGGAAACTTTCTAAGTCTTTTGTTGTTTAGGTTATGAAGTCATGCAGTAAAATAACTTTGTTTTCTTACAACTCTGGCATTTTCCCATGTCCTTGCTTTTTCTTCCGTCCCTCTCTTTTCCATATGCTGTGAATAACTAAAACTTGGGTAGCCACACCCCTTCTTCCAGTACCAATCCTGCACTTGCTTTAAAGCCTGTTTAATTAATAGGGTTTCCCAGTTTGATCAATTTAATTTGTCTGTGTATTTTTCTAAACTCTGGGAAGGAAAAACCTTGTGACAGGATTTTTGAAGTAAAACAGCTGGGGATATTGTTGTTACTGATAGCATCAAAGTTTATATTCTTACTGAAAGCCTGTTCCTAACAAGATTCTTGAATTCTAGAGCATAGTTTTTATTCTGGGCTAGTGGAATGGCTAGTGGAGCATGTATGAAAACTCAGTTCATTACAAGCCATTATCAGATTCGAACCATTTTCAGCAAAAAGACGTACTTATTGCATTTGGGTTTCTTTAGCTTTGTTTTTTGCCTCAAAGTGCATACTGCACAAATAAGCACAATTGGCAGTCAATCAGGAAATATATGTAATATTTTAGAATTTTATCAATGCACCAAAACTAAAACAATATTTTTTCATTTTAGACTTTTTAAGGCATACTGTTTATATGCAAAGACTAATCAACCTTTCCAAAATATTTCAAAACCCCCCACAAACTTTCTATAACAACTTGTCTAAATAAAACATGAAAGGAAGTTTTCTTGTGGGGGGAGGCAAACATTTCATATCTTTGTAAGGCTGCAATTCCCTTCATATTTATTTGGGAGCAAGCTACTTTGATGCCAGTGATAAACTTGCATAGGTTCAGGATAAACTTAGAAAAATCACAGTAGGTGAAGGCCGCTATAGATTAGATTAATATGCACATCAAAATGTGTTTGTACAAAACCCATAACTCTCAAGTCAGTCCTTCAGAAGAGAGAAATCATATTTAAAACGCATGAAAAATCTTTTCTGAATGAAGATTTTAATATGGAAATCAGTGTCATTGTCCTGGGGAATAATTCTTAAAAAATGGTTCCCATTTTGTTCCATAATGCGTATCTGTATACATTCGGCAAAACTATATAGGAAAGAAAATTTCCTAGATTTTCTAAATTGTATATTTAGGAGTAATTTTACACAGCCTTGAAATTCACGTAATATTGAATATTATCTATATGCAAGAAAAGGCAGAAGGATAAATAAGTGAAGAAAGAAAGGATTTATGTTCTAGAAAGAAAGAGAAGTTATATCAACTTGTAATACAATTTAAAAACTAATGGCTGCCTGGTGGAAAAGATAGCTACTAAGACTGCAGAACTGTTTTACAACAGAAACACTTCCCTGTTTGAATAATTTGTTTGGTATCAGTTAGAAACATTCAAAATATGTTATAATTTGTAAGTGGAAATTTTATCTTAGTTTCCCTTCTGCTTTTTCTTTCTATTTTCTGCTTAAAAAGTAAAATTCTTGGGCACAATCACCTCTTAATTAATTGCCGGATGTTTGGAATAAAGAGACACGAAGGCAATGGAAAGTTAAAATCGATTTTTTTTTATTTTTTATGAAGTTTCTTAACTGTTTTCAACAAGTCAAATTTAAGCAAATGGTGGGAAGGAAAAGAAGTGCATATAGTCTTGTCATTGGCACTGGAATACATTTAACACCAGTAAACTTTGATAGCGGTGACTTTTCTTTTCTTTTTCTCTTTCTTTTTGGGGCTTCTGGTTTGTTTTTTCCTCTTTTAATTTATTTTGTTTTCTTTCCTTACCTTTTTTTTAAAGAAAGAAAATCGTACATCTAGTTAAATAGCGTTGTTTTTCACTTGGTGACAACATTCAGGCAAAGGGGACAAGAGAGAGAAAAGAGCGACGGGGAGAAGGGAAGGGAGCTCACACACATGGAGGATTCAGGACGGGGAGGGGAAGAAATGTACCTCGGGTTTCGCTCGGCTGCCGCCAAGTCCTTTCACTGCCGGGAGAGTCTTGTCTTTTGAAGGAAAAAAAGGGGGAGCGGAGGAGCAGCAGCGCCGCCGCCGCGCCTGCAGTCTTGGAGCCCCGCTCCCCCTTCCAAAGTTTGCAAAGGAGCCCCGGCGGCCCTATAGCTTGTCCAGGCTCTTGGGGTTGGTGAGGATCTCCCGGGCCAGGCGCCAGGTCTGCTTGGCGGCGCTCTCCAGGGCCGAGTGGGGCTTGCCCTGAAAGAGGTCGAGGTTGGGCAGGAAGTAGTGCGGGCAGCGGCGGCACTGCAGGCAGGAGATGAGCTGCAGGAGGATGCCGTTGAGGCGGTCGCCCAGGCAGGCCTCGTCCCAGTCGGTCTCCCGCGGGTGCTTCTCGCACTCGTAGAGCAGCAGCGTCTTCATGTGGTAGTTGTTGAGCGGCTGGCCGGGCAGCTCCAGGTGCCGGTCGCGCAGCGTCTTGAGCACCGAGAGGCACTTGTTGCGGCAGCCGCCCAGCAGCAGGCGGTTCTCGGCCTCGCCGAACTGCAGCACCCAGGCGTCGCTCTCGGCCGAGCTCTGCTTGCCGGTCAGCGAGTAGCACTCCTTGGAGAGCAGGTTGAAGCCCTCGGCCTTGACCTCGGCCACGCGGTTGGGTCCCGGCCAGGGGATGTGGGGCAGCGGCCACTGGGCAGCGCTGCGCGGCCAGATGCCGGTGCACTTGAAGGCGGGCGTGATCTGCACCACGTAGCGCTCGCGGATGCGGAGCTTGACCTCGCTGGTGTCGGCGATCATCTTGACCACGTCGCGGTAGCTGCACTTGTCCACGGCCTGCGCCACCAGCGTCTGGAAGCGCGAGCGGATCTTGCGCGCCGACAGGTAGCCCGAGGCGGTGATGAACTCCACCCACAGCGACATGCTGCGCTTGCGGCCGTCGCTCAGCTTGAGGACGGCGCAGCCCGGCAACGAGCCGTCGTCCACGAAATTGAAGACGCCCATCTGGTTGAGGTAGAGCACCACCTCGAACTCGGTGGGCGAGATGACCTCCAGGCCCTCGTAGCGCGCGTCGATCTCGCTCAGCGAGCTGATGAAGCGCGGCTCCTGCACCTCCACCTCTTTCAGCACGTCGGAGACGACTTTGCAGACCTCGCGGATGGTCTTGGCGATGGCCGCCTTGCGGGCCTGGCACCGCTCCGTGTAATACTTATTCAGCTGGTAGACTAGCTTGGCTTGCGCGGCAATCATGTTGGGGCAGACGTCCGGGCTGTACACCGGGCTCTCGCAGTACGTTGACGGATCCAACGCCGCAGCCGCCGTCTCCGCGCGCGCGGGCAGAAGCCAAGCCCGCTTCGCCCGGTCGCTGCCACCGCCGAGGAGGAGGACGAGAGGGAGGACGAGGCACCGTCGGAACCCGCCCTGCCGCCGCCACCGAGCGGAGCAGGCAACCTCCTTCCTCCGGCGCAAAAGTTTGGCGCTTCCTTTACATCGGAGCTGCGCCCAGTTCTTGGCCTGCTCAGGCTCCAAAGGGCTTCAGTACTTCATGGGGAAACTCGCTCCTTCTTCCCTGCTGGGGTTGTGGGGGTGGGTGGGATTGGACTTTCCGCAGCAAAAGTGAGAGGTCAGCGGCCCAATTCTAGACGGGCGGCGCCCGTTCTCTTGCCCTCCTCTCCTCTCGCCTAGTTCAGGCCGTGGCAGCGCCGCTTTGCTCTGCTTTTTGCGTTGCTTTTCTTCCGGAGGCCTCGGCTGAAGAACTCGCCCAAAGGCCACCTTTCCGCCGCTGATTCCCGGCCTGCTCCTCCTTCAAAGTTCTTAAGTCCAGCTTTAGGGCCCCTTCGGGATTTCCCGTTTGTTTAAAAAAAAATTGATTTCAGGTCAACCTTCCCTTTTGTCCCGAGTATATTGTCTTGATCAGCAGGAAGGAGTGTGCGTGTGGATGCACTTTTCCGCTTTCCAGGATCTCTCTCTCTCTCTCTCCCCCCCCCCTCCCGCCGCTTTCCGTTTCCTTCCCCCTCCCACTTTCGGAACTGGATGCAGCCGCTCTTATTACTTTCCTGCGCCTCGCGTCCTCTCCCGGCGCGGACGTCTGGAGGTCTCTGCCTTTGCGGAGAGGGTCGTTTAGTTTATGAATGGTCCCAGGGCCCTGCTGAAGGGAGGCGTGGCTCGAGAATCCTACAATCGCCGCCAGAGCTGTCAGAGGGCCAGCCAATCGCTGGGCCGAGCCGCCTGCACGGCCGCTGCGGGGCCCGCCACGATTGCAGAGGCTGAGGGGAAGGAGGCAGGGAATGGGAGAAAGAGACTGGAAAGATGCTTAAGGCACACGCGTTGATTTGATGCACGTCTGTGGGAACGAGTACGCACCTTACCCCGCTGTACCCCATTTCCCAGTTAAGTGAAGGCCACGAGAGAAGGCTCCTCGGGCCCTCCAGAAATGGGAGTGGGAGCGAGAGAGATACTAGGAAAAGTTGCTATTGAAGACATTGCTGTGAATAGTAATGAAAGATCTCCACTTTATCCTCCTGGGATGTTCAAGATGCAACCCAGAGGCTTGCGGTGCCCGTTTAGAATGAAACGGATCATTCTACAACGGGTAGCAAGACAGATTGGTAAAGTACGGAACATGGCAGGGAAGGGGAAAAAAGATGAAGGAAGATACATTATGAGAAGAAGAAAAGGCGTAGCTTTCACACAGAGATTTGCCCAGTAGTACTTTTACAGCAGGACCCTTGCGATTCCTCTCTAAATCTATTGCTGCTCAACAACTCCAGCATTTGTGAAAGCGAACCAATTATAGAAACCAATTAGGACCCTTGATTATCGAACCTGAATAGTGTTTGGCTTAAAATTAATTGACACCATGCAATACGCCTAGGATGCTGTTGCAAAATGAACCATCAGTAGGTGTGGTTTAATATCCTCACTATGAAAAAGAGGTTTCGAATTTGAAGTTTGGCACGCTAGATTATTGTATTTCTAATTACAAGTGGAATTCCTACTGGACTCCAGCCAGTGATCTCAGAAGCAATTGTTTAATAATTATCACATTTCAGTATCTCGAGATTTATTAGGTTTTTTTTCCTCCCAAAGGGCTAAGACAAATATTTATTCTTAGGTGCCAGTGTAAACGGGTCAACTAGGGCTTCCACGCAAAAAGGTTTGTGCTTAATCGTAAATAAATTGTAAACTATTTTAGAGAAAGGGAGAGAAAACACTGGCTCTTTTCTGAGGAAAAAAGTTCATCCACCACTAATCCCCATCCACCCCCACCGGCATTCCTGTCGATACTTAACAGAATTCTTTAATATTTTCGGCTAATCTTCAGCGTAAAATAGCCTGCGTGTGAGCAAAATATATCTTATTTTCTAGTTGGGCGCTAATAATAGGCGACAGACGGCACAATTGTATTTCACTTTAAAACAACGAGATTTTCGGATCTCAGCAAACAGCAACAACAATAATTTTCAGCCGCGTTGCTGCAACCCTTTGTTCTCTCCGAGGTGCTTGGAAATAAGCATTCCTGAGTTTTTGGGATTTGGGAATTGCTGTGACTTGAAGGAGAAGGGCCTTGCCTAACCCGTTATCTTCTCCATTCCTCCATCCCATCGGGTGTTAGAACTGAGTAGGATCCAGCGGCTGGGGGCCACCAGCGTTCTCCAGGGGACCAGATCTGATTTGGAAAGCGCTCCAATGGGCAAGGCGGCGCACCGGTTGCTCCCCACGACCCCTCCCCCCATCTCTTCGTTCAGTCCGCTGCTCTGGTTCCCGTCCTGTTGCCTGTCGACATCTTTTTGGTGTGTGTGTGTGTGTGTGTGAAGAGCGGGTTTCCACCACTTCTGTGGAGCTGACTGATGGAGAACTGGGTAGCCCGAATCGAAAACCGGGTATTGGTGCTGGAACGAGAGGGCTTGTGGGAGGCCGTAACTTTCTGCATCCCGCTTGGGTTGTTGTAGGGCAGCCGCTATCGACTTGCCCAGACCAGCTGCAGTCGTCCCATGCGTCAAGCAGTCGGATCTAGTGGCTGTTGTAAAGCAGGACTTGTTTCCAGCCGAGTCTTCGCTGCCGGTCTGCTTTTCCGTCTGTTTTTTTTTAAAAATAATAAATTTCCCCTAACCCACCCCCACATCTTTGCCGATCGAGGGACCCAGGTTGCAGAGTATACTTTAAGATCTTATCTGACCAGTAGTAGAAATCCCGGAATTGAGAAGGGGGGCGCGGGTCAAGGCCGGGGTGGGGAGAACAAACTGCTTCATCGACGACAACCCGTCTTGTGGCGCAGGCTAGTTGGAACCCGCACCTTTCCCGGAGAGGCCAAGGAAGCAACCCCGGCCAAGGGCCCTGCGCTCTCGCCTCCACCCCCGAGAGTGCTGCAGCCCGTCCGCAGCCGCGTCTCCGGTGGTCGCGCTTGCTACTTCGAGAAGCCCCCCCCCCCGTCTCGGGTTTTCCCAGAGGCCGCGTCCCAGGGCCGAGTGACGCTGGAAGAGCCGCTCTTCCCGAGCCACCCGGGCTCCTGCCCAGGAGAAGACGCGGGGTTGGCAGCTTTAGCTCGGCGCCAGCCGCCTTTCTATTCGGGGGGCCTCGGGTGGATCCCTGCTGTTCTCTGGGGTTGAGGCTTCCCCATGGCTCTCGCCTCTCTCTCCCCGCCGCCCCGTCTGAGGTCGATGCTCTTGTAAATAATAAATCAGTGGGAAAACAAAAGCCGCTCGGATTTATGGTCCGAGGCGCTAATTAGAAACATCATTTGAGCAATAAACTTAAACACTTTCGAGCAAATAACGCCTGCGGAAAAGAGGGGGAGCGAGCGAGCCGGGAAGCTGGTCCTCGCCGGGGACGGGGTTTCCAAGGGAGGATGGTTGGGAGGAAGGTGGGGAGGATTGCAAGCGGAGGTTGCGGGGAATCCGTCGAAGAAGCGAACGAGCCGTCCCGCTCGCCCTGTGGCCGCCTGGGGATCGGCGCGCCCGCCAGCAGCTCCTTGGTGGCATCTGAAGCCACCCCGTCCGCCTCGAGGAGCTCTGAAGCTGCTGCTGGCGTTGTAGGCGCAGGAGGCGGCGGGCCAGTGCGGGGAGAGCGCGCAGGGTCTCTGGCAGCGGGGGAGGCTCTGAAAAGCCACTTGAAGCCGCTTCGGCCGATTGATTTGCATTTCCTCCGGTTGCAACCCGTCTCCTCCGACTTGAGGGAATGAGAGCCCGGAGGAATTCACGAAGGGAGGCTGCGGGCCCATTTTCTTTGGCGGGGAAAGGGCGGGTTGGGTTGGTCTTAAACTCTCCAGCCGCCCGGGAATGCCTTGGCCCTTTCCTTGCCTCTCCTAGGTTTTCCCAGCGACCCTCTCCCGCTCCTTTAAGGCCGGCTGAGGATGGGTAGAGCTCGTCCTTGGCGTTGAAGTGGCCGGGGGGGGGGGGGAACTCGCCGGAGAGCCTCGAGGGCGGGAGGAGAGAGAGAGAGAGAGAGAAAGGGCCGAGGAGGGGCGCTTTCTCCGCCGTGCGGAGAAGCCTCGTGCACGTGGCTTATGATCGTAAAGCAAATGGGAAGGAGGGGTTCTTTTTGTTGCCCTACTGGAGTGGGCAGAGCAGAAGGACGTGTCCTTGCCCTCTCTTCAGCTCCAGGCGGCTCTGGATTTTAACGGGGTTTCCTTCTCCGTGTGCATGTACGAGAAGCCAGATCTCCATTTCTGGAGGCTGCTTCTAAAGCAACTTTGGCCTTAAAAGAAAAAGGAAAGGAACCCACTTTGGACCATGGACAATTCATGTTCTCCCTTTGAAGAGATGGCTGAATATCCTCTTCAGTCAGGAATTAATGTGGTATACTTTTGGGGTGACTGAGCTGTGCAGGAATAAATATTCAGCGCGCTCTAGCTTAGAAGCATCTTTGGCTTACTGAAAATTAAAATGAAGCAGAGCAAATACCTTCCAGACAGTTAGCTTAATTGTTACCCCCTCTTTAATTTTCCAGGAGATCTTTTAACCTTGTTGCTTAAATATTCTCTGTGCTTCCATTTATAGAAGAACAGCCTGGGAAAAGAATGGGTGGCTTTTGCCTGTCATTTTCATACATTCCTTTTCTTTTGATGGAGCTAAATGGCTGCAGAGAGTATAAATTGGAAAAGGTGCAATTCTGGATTGTGCGGTGTGTTTCCCAATGGTCAGACTAAATGAATGGGTCAAGTTCACAGGTCCAGAGGAATTTGCAGCTATTAATCCTGTTTCCATTGGTGGATGGATCTTGGTTTTTACCTTGTGCTCCTGGATGGAAAAACGCTGCTTATTAATGGCTCGTGCGTGTGTGTGTGTGTGTGTGTGTATTTCCTTTATAAAAAGGACCCTTT